CATCAAGTCTCCCCCACCCCCTTCTTTTTCTTTAAATAAAATATTTGTACCACTGTATATACCAAAACTTCTATTTAAGATGTAAACATAATTCTAATGGTAGAGATTATATTGTGATTTCTCACCATGAAAGCTTTTGCCAGAAAAATCCAGATAACCATACCAGGTGAACCACATTGCCTAGTTTATCAGATCATATACATCTATTCCAGGCTGGAACTACTGTTATAATAACCCATTATTTTACCTAAATTCAAGAATGCTTTAGTTCCATGTACTTGACATTGGGGGATTGTAAAGAGATTTTTTTTTTCGAATTTTTTTATGTATATTTGGAACACTGTTAGCATCAATTTGCATCATTCCAAATCTCAATCAGACATCTGTAGCTCTTGTAATTTTACTAAAAATAATTAAATTGTAACTTCACTATTGCAAAAGCTGATTATAATATAATATTTTAGAGGCTTTACAATGGTTGACGTCATTAAACACTTACTTTTAGTGAAATTTCAAAACCATCGAAGAATTGATGCTATCAGTATCCTGATAAATATAAAAAGATTGTAAATCTCTTTAGTTCCATGTTGTTTTTTTTTTTTTACATTACCTTCCCTTTAAGTTCCATGTTTTTTTTTTTACATCAAGAAACAAATTGCCGTTAAGAGCATCAATTAAATAGCTTGAAACCTTTGATATACCTGTGATGCCTATTTTTTACAGAAAGTTTACAGAAAGCTAGAGATAGCATAGAAAATACATGTATACCTTCCTAGTCGTTTGATTTGCCAATCCCTCCGTTAGTATCAAGGTGTTGTCTGTTGGTTCATTAGGTGCCTTAGGTTTGAATCCTCCCCAAGAAATATTTCTTCTTGAACTTTCATAATTAGCTTGAAGAACCTCCCCATAGCATAAACTGTACTGACTAGTATGTTATAATATTATAGTAGGTTGACAACAGTATAAGTATAGCGTTATAACATGTTGACAGAATAAATATAGCATTTTAGCTTGTTGACATCATTCTAGGTATAACTGTACTGAATATTATATTATAATATTATAGCAGGTTGACAACAGTATAAGTATAGCATGTTGACAGAATAAATATAGCATTATAGCATGTTGACATCATTCTAGTATAATATTAGGACAGTAATTTCAGTATGGTAGTACAACATATTGACAGAAGGATTAGGAGAACATTATAGCATGTCAACAACAGTTTAAGATAGTATTATAGCATGTTTACAACGGTGTAAGTAAAGCTTGTTTAGTTGTATTTGCTAATAGCATTATAACATGTTGACAATAGTTAAAAAACAGTAAAAGAATATTTTAAGATAGCATGTTGACAATAGTTCAAGTATAGCATAATAGCATGTTGACTACAGTGTAAATACAGCATTATAGCATGTTGACAATGTTAAAATACAGTAAAAGAATATTCAAGTTAAATGTCGGGTGCTAACTCTGTCAGATATTTAATAGACGAGAATTCTCCTGGGATAACTCTTGATTATTGCCGATATTTTTTAACGTGGAGGAATTTGTTACTGTCACATGACTGTCACTGAAAGCTATGATTAGTATTATTGATAATTTTTGTTTTCCGTAAAAGGAGAGAAAATGAATTGTGTGATCTGACCTGAAACTTGTGATGGGTCACGTGCTTCTATTCTGACTTGTGTGTCTTGCAATTCCGCTAAAGGTGCGGGCACAGGAGCGATCTTTGTCAGAGATCTTTGTCGCTGATTAGAGTCTTGAGAAAAATCTGCGTGTCTGACTGAAAATTTGAATGGTGCAAATCCATACTAACAATGTCCCCAATAAAAAATAAAAAGTTTAGACAACCTTTTCAAAATCTGTGTATGACAGTTAAAAAACGAGTCATCTTTTCTTGAGACACTGTCATAATATAGAAAAGACATCATATTGAAAAAGGAAAATAAATTCCTAGTTTGAGATATTTTTAAAAGAATTATGCAATTACTCGAACATTTCTAGTACTTCTGAAGACTATTTACATATATTCAAGACTCAAACCAACCCCCAAAAACGCACACCTGTCCCTTTAATTTCAATAATCTTTGACTGAATGTACTGTTCGTTCGAAGTCAACCTTTTTCATGCTACAATATTTTATATTTGATCTGTAAAATGATTTCCAAGTAGACAAGATTGATTAATTTGAAATCATTTTAGATTTTTCCAGGTTTTTATGAAATAAAATGAACTCGATTTCTGTACAGTATGTCAATCAAAAATTATTAAAAATCAATTTTAAAATACGATGAGAGTTTTTTGTATTTTATAGAGAGAGTATTCAATATCCAAAACGAATTGGTGAGGATTTCCAACATTTCCAAAACATTTAACTAAAAAGGGACAATATTTCCCATTCTCTTTTAATCCAACATTTCCAACATTGCCAACCTCTTTTTCTGGAAATTTTTAACATTTCCAAACCTCATTAGAGATTTTAAATATTTCCAAATCTATTTCTTACTGATAGTTGTTGATTTCCAACATTTGCATATTTCCCAAAGCTGTTGCTGAAGAAATCTGCTTTTGCCAAATCTATTGCTGAAGAAAATTTTGGCTGACTTTTGATTTGGGGATTTCCAATCCTACTTCTCGAGAAATTCAAAACCTTTTTCTCGACAATTTCAAGATTTTCAAACCAAACTTTGCATTTCTTTCATTAAAAAAAAAAACAAAACAAAAAAATCTGACAGAAAGAACAGAGTCCTTACTTACCAAAGATCATACGAATCCATGATAATGATATATACTCATAATATCGAGCACGATTTCGTGTTTTCTATTCCGTTATTTTCGAAGAAGGTAGATAACTTTATTTTTTCTCAATCGGAAACTCAGAATCACCATGATGAGAAAAACATAGAATATTAGTGGATTGTAAAACAGACACTTTAATGCCACAGCAAAATGGTTAGCGTCTTCAACCATATGAATATTCTATCCAGTACTGTTACACGTTCACAGCTGGTATTCTAGGTGCCTCACTTCAATTTAACTTATAACATTGTAGACTTACTGCAACTCAAAAAACTGAAATATAAAAAGGTTTTTTTTTTTTTACAAATTTTTGCAACCTTGGAATTTTTTACAATATTTTGCAATTTTGTGCAAAATTTTTCATATTACTTTCAACCTTTAACATTTTAGACTGACAGGAACTGAAACTGTTAATTTAATTTTAGATACAATTTCAGAAGAAAAACTGAGTTAGGTAAAATCACAATTGTTAAAGAAAATGGTTTTATATTTTGCCTGAAGAAATGCCAGTACATATTAATAACTCATTTCCTTGCAAAAAAAAAGAATTCTTTTGCTATATTGAATTTCAATTCATGAATGAAAATGATAATGGCAACGTAGATCGTCCAATGAAAGGTTTATGAATTTGACCGAAAAAAATACTCATGAAGACTAAAAAGACAAACACATAATCAAACTAAGTATAAGTTTTTGCAATCACAAAATTTACGTGCTTTACCTTGTTTTGAAAAAATTCTCAAATCAAATCGTATTAAAAAAGAAAAATTTCTTACTAATACAAAAGTCAACTGTGCAGCTAAAAGTCGAATTTTGTTGTGACGCAAAAATCGTCCAGTGCAGAAAATTTGTTTATCTTACGTATCATTTTTAAGTTTCACAAGATTAAAAGTCATTTAATTTAATGAAGATTTTTCATCCCTTATGATTCCTGCGACTTGACTAATTTCCAAAAAATTACGTTCAAAGTAAACAGTCTGTTAGGTTTTTCAAATTTCTTTCAAATCACATTAACTTTCGCACGATAGTTCTCCCAATTTCATTATTTTTATACACGATAATTTGGTTTCTCACAAATTTTAAAATGTTTTCTCTTCACAATTGACTGAAGTTATAAGATGAAAAAAATTACATGTTTATTTTCGTGATATCCAGTTTTAAAAATGCAATATGAGTTCTAGGTTCGATAATTTTTAACAAAATCTTTCAAACTTACAAGATGGGAAAATTCTATCGAGCGTATTTTCGTGATATCCAACAGTTTTGGTTTGAAGTCTCAGTATTTTTTTTCACAAATTCTTAATAAACATTGCCACATAAATTCTTAAAAGTATTCAACACAAATTCTTAAAAATTGACACTCTATTCTTTAAAAATTGTCACAAATTCTTAAAATTTCAAGCCCCATGGAATTCGTGATATCCAAAATTCAGTATTGAAGTCCAATACATATGAGTCTATAGAGAAGAAAATCCCAACTGCTATGAGATGAGAAATACTGACTGTTAACTTATTATACGTTGTAGCACCAATCTATAATTCCTGCAAAACTTGGCTTTATCTCTTCTAACAAATATTGATAGTAATAACTACCTTACTAAATCACACTTTTAGTAACCAGTACTACTATTGGATTGTTAGATATCTCTTCGATAACTTTTTTCCAATAGTCACCGAAGAACCGACTATCCAAGTCAACTGCCTATAACGGACTGACAGATATCAGTTGTAGACAAGTTGAGAGGCAGCAATGAATAAAATGTATCAAGAGAGAAAAAGCCAACTGTGATGTAGCCTTCCCTTCCTGATCACAAGAATAGACTGGAATTAAAACTGAGCAATAAGACACGACCATCAAGCTATGAATGGCTGATTTTGGACAGTATATGACTAGAGTATATGACTAGAGTATACTAAAAGAAAATATATCGTATATATAACTATTTTTAAATGGTTATGTATCAGAGAAAGTCAGTGTTTGAATTTAAGGCAACAAAAAGAAGTAATAAATTGTTTAAAGAGTTTATTGAATGGCTGAATTTTGGACAGTATATGACTAGAGTATATGACTAGAGTATACTAAAAGGAAATATATCGTATATATAACTATTTTTAAATGTTTATATATGTAAGTAAATACAACAGAGAAAGTGTTAAAATTGATGTTAAAAAGGAGTAGAAACTTAAAAGAGTTTATTTTAATGACTGAAATTGTTCAGTATATAGCAAATGTATATGGCAAGAATATGCCTTTCAGAATATACCGGCTGGGTTGACAGTATTATGGTATAAGGCAAGGGTATACCGGCTGGGTTGACAGTATTATGGTATAAGGCAAGGGTATACCTGCTGGGTTGACAGGTATTATGGTATAAGGCGAGGGTATACCGGCTGGGTTGACAGTATTATGGTATAAGGCGAGGGTATACAGGCTAGGTTGACAGTATTATGGTATAAGGCGAGGGTATACCGGCTGGGTTGACAGTATTATGGTATAAGGTGAGGGTATACCGGCTGGGTTGACAGTATTATGGTATAAGGCAAGGGTATACCTGCTGGGTTGACAGGTATTATGGTATAAGGCGAGGGTATACCGGCTGGGTTGACAGTATTATGGTATAAGGCGAGGGTATACAGGCTAGGTTGACAGTATTATGGTATAAGGCGAGGGTATACCGGCTGGGTTGACAGTATTATGGTATAAGGCAAGGGTATACCGGCTGGGTTGACAGTATTATGGTATAAGGCAAGGGTATACCGGCTGGGTTGACAGTATTATGGTATAAGGCGAGGGTATACAGGCTAGGTTGACAGTATTATGGTATAAGGCGAGGGTATACTGGCTGGGTTGACAGTAATATGGTATAAGGCAAGGGTATACCGGCTGGGTTGACAGTATTATGGTATAAGGCAAGGGTATGCCGGCTGGGTTGACAGTATTATGGTATAAGGCGAGGGTATACAGGCTAGGTTGACAGTATTATGGTATAAGGCGAGGGTATACTAGCTGGGTTGAGGGTATTACAGTGGTTTGAGTGTAAAAGTATCGCACCATATTCTAATGATCAGTAAGTTATCAGTGTAGCTATGATTATCAAGTAGGCCTTTTCTAATGATCACTAAGTTATCAGTGTAGCTATGATTATCAAGTAGGCCTGTTCTGATGATCAGTAAGTTATCAGTGTAGCTATGATTATCAAGTAGGCCTGTTCTAATGATCAGTACGTTATCAGTGTAGCTATGATTATTAAGTAGGTCTGTTCTAATGATCAGTAAGTTATCAATCATATTTGACTATAATTTGTTGATAAGCTTTACATAATTCATGTCAATCCAGCTGTAAATGGGTAGGGATAAACTGGGAAAGATCAATGCCAGAATTTTCGGCCAAGTACCAGCTGGTAGAAAGAATCTTTGTGAACCGAAGTTATTATCTTTGTAAAATAACATTGTTACTTTCTTTTCTCTTTTAAAATTGAATCAAAAGTCAAACAGTCCAATTTGTAAATTCTAGTTCATGAAAGAGAAAGTGGGCTTGAAGTACATGGAACACAATCTATCAATTTCCAATTTAACATAAAAGACTGCCAGATATCAGAGCCAAATTATGGCTATATGAGCTCTCCCTTTACCAATTTATGATGATTTCACATACAATAAAATCATATCTATTTGAGTTAATGACAAGCTTGTCTGACGTTAAAAATGTTCCATGGATCGGATTTCAGAATATTTCTGTCATACCATCTTTTTTATTAACTTTTAGTCATTTTTCTGTCTACGCTAGCTTTTTTCTACGACCATTTCCCATATTTATGACTAATTTTTTACGATTAATTTTTTTCTTTTAAGTCTTTAATGTTCGCTTACAGCGAAATCGAGGAAAGATAACTACCAGATAAATCGAGACATCTTGTTCCGAAGTGTAATTCTGTCTTTTTGATTAAGTTATCTTTCTTTATGGGCAAGTTGAAACTTTAACACTTGTGGCTTTTTTTGGAGCTTTTTTTGCATAATTTTCCATTGTTTTTGGTCAGTTCTTGTTTTGGGCCACACTTGTAACTTTTTGACCCATTTTTTTGACGTCTCTGGACCCTATTTTTTGTGATTTTGTGGGCCATGCTTTCCCTTATTTTTGACCATGCTTTTCACTTTTAGGCAATGCTTTTAACTTTTCAAGCATGCTTGTCTCTTTTTGGGTCATGCTTTCCATTTTTTTTTACCTTGCTTTTCACCTTTAGCAATGCTTTTAACTTACATATTTAGCATCAAAAATCTCCATTTAATTCTGAAATTGAAGGATGACATTTTTAAAAACAGAATATAAAAATGTTTGAAAGTTGTTGACAAAGAGAAAAGATTTTAAAGCATCAAGATCTATGTTAAACCTTAAAAAAAACATGGTGTTGTTGTGAAAATTTAACTTGAGATTTTAGAGAAGATTTGGAAAAAAAAATTCCCGATAGTTATTATGTTCTGTATTTTTTTAGAGATTTCTATATTTGGTGAAAGATTTTGTTTTTTTTTGCAAAAAAAGAAAATTGTGAAGGAATTCAAAAAGAGGTTCATTGGCCTATTCATGTGCATCAGGGACACTTATAGCTTTAATTTACTCGATTCAGACGTTTCTCTGACATCTGCGGAGTTTGTAATTCTAGAAAAATCATACCAGATTACCTCGTCATTATTGCAAAAAATTGTCGCGATAAAGAAATGACTTCTTCGTCCGCTGAATTGTTAGGAGCCACTTGCGTTATAATACCTTCCTTCTTCTTTAGTAGGTATTAGAGGGTGAAAGCCGACACCGGGCGGACTATCGGAAACACAGGCACAGGAGTTAGAATTTTTCTTACTTTTTGGAGGATTCAAACCCACGGCACCTTATTGCCTAGCAACAATTCAACTCGCTAGCTATTCTACTGCCACAAAAAAAAAAAAGTGTTCCAACCCATGTTAAAGTGAAGTATAGACTTCTACACAGTTTGAAAGTTGTTAACCCCCTCATGGAGATATTCATATAGCCTGGCATGAGCACGAATAGGTATTAGGGGGTGAAAACTGACACCCAATCGTTTCTCGAAAGCACAGGCACAGGCATCAGAATTTTCCTTACCTTTAGGAGGATTCAAACCAACGGGGTGATTTCAAATTGAGGCATGCAATTGCTAAAGTCTAAAACAATATAAAGTTTTCTACAATTAGGTGCCAGAAATTAAATCTGTACCTTTAATCGTTTGACCTTGACCTCTGCACTATTCACCTTGAACTTTTGCACAAATTATAGATTCATGAATCAATGGTACAAGTTAAATGGAGGCTTGCTGTAAACCTATCTACGTCTATAAATCTGTGTTGACAGAAATTAGGGTTATAAACACTACGTTTGAAGCAGTAAATCAGAAATTTCCCAGGAAATCTGAGAATCGGTTCACTAGAAATCTATCACTTGAAATAATTTATGAGGTGAAATTGAAAGTAGAGCTTGTGGAATTGAAAGTAGAGCTTGTGAATTGAAAGTAGAGCTATTAGCAATCATGTTACCCTATTATTGTTTGATTATGTTAGCATCTTCACATTGTCAAGTTATTTTGAACTTTGTCTTATACCTTGACTATGATAGTCACCTTTCTTGTATCACATCTTCACATTGTCAAGCTATCATGAACTTCGTTTTATACCTTGACTGTGATAGTCACCATTCTTGTTTCACATATTCACAATGTCAAGCTATTATGAATTTCGTTTTATACCTTGACTGTGATAGTCACCATTCTTGTTTCACATATTCACAATGTCAAGCTATCATGAACTTCGTTTTATACCTTGACTGTGATAGTCACCATTCTTGTTTCACATATTCACAATGTCAAGCTATCATAAACTTCGTTTTATACCTTGACTGTAATAGTCACCTTTATTGTATCACATATTCACAATGTCAAGATATTACAATATTCAGCTTATACATGGAAAAGCGTCGAGTTGTTCGGATGGGACAATAAACCAAGGCCCAGTGTGCTACAGAAATCGAAAAAGAGCAGGCCAAAGCCGCTGTCCTGGCAAAATTTCCCTCATTCCACCCTGCATGGCATTGCCCGTCTTCATTAGCTCACATGGTGCAGAAAACTAGGACGTAAACTCCATTCATTTCATTTCATTTCCAGCCGTTTATTTCAAAAATTGTTTTTTCCAGCAACTAATATGTGAGTAGGTTGATATTTAATACAGTATATGACATATCAGTCAACCTGAAACAGATTTCAAATTGGCTTCACGTCAAAAATTGAAATATATAAAACCTAACAATGGTGGCCAGTTTCCGAAATTATACCAAGACTATACCAAGACGATAAATCTTGGCTGACAAGATATAAGCGTAGGTTTAGACAATTGATTGGTCGGTCGTAAAAAGCCTACGTTATAGTCAACGAAGCCAGCCAGCGTTACCTATAATCTATACCAGAATTCAATTCCATCATTATCTGTGTCAATTGGGCTATTTTTATGACCAATAGGTGACAATTAAATTATCAATATTAGATTGTGGTTTGTGTCGTCTGCCTTTTGCCTCTACTATACAAGCAGGCAGAGGTCAATGAAGTTGAAAACCCTAACTCATCTGAATTTCGAGCAGACGACAATGAAAGTGAAAACACTAACTGAACTGCACTTTGAGCAGACGTCATGAAAATGAAAACACTAATTCATCTGAACTTCGACCAGAAGAGAATGAAAATTAAAATGTTAAAGCACATTTTGTTAATTTTTCAAACTTTCTTTTTTTTTTTACCAGTTGTCTGGTAACCTATAAGAGAGATTGGCCATGATGTCAATGTTGTTTGTGTATCACATGATGCACAACTTGTACCAGTTGTAAGAGTAGTTTGTCCTTCGAGTTGTTCTACTCAAGTCATGTATGTGTTCTATTTTTAGCATATCACGGCTAAGTTGATTTCTACTATTGTTGAAAGACATTAAGAATTTGTAAAATTAAGATTGGTTTTTTGAATCAGAAGACTCATCCGATGGCAACCAAAATATAAACGGGGTAACACATTTTGATAAAAAATTTTTGCATTGTAGTAGCTGTTGGTAGATAATAGAGTGTTGGAATGGCGTCTGCTAAAATTGTTAGATGGCGTATCGAATGGATTCCTGGAATGCATGAAAATATTGATGCCATGGTCAATGCTTGTATTAGTCTACAGCATGAGTTGAGCACCAGGCCACATATTCTGGAAACGATCTTAGCACTAGGATGTCCTAGGTTCTTATTTTCTACATTGATTCTAGGATGTCCTAGGTTCTTATCTTCTAACATTGATTCTAGGACATCTTAGCGCTAAGATCGTTTCCAGAATACATGCTCAGGGTTTTTCGAAAAAGAACAATAATAAAAAAA